AAGGAGTGCCGGACCAACCGGGCTGTGGTGGGTATGTGGGCCTGCGGGCCGCTCCAAGCAACAGCCTGGTGGACCAAACTCTCACAAGTCGAGCCTGGCCTCGGGCCGGGCTTGGGGAGTAGACGAACTCCCAGAACCCCATCAACCAGGTATCAACCAGGTAACCCGCTTCCGCAATGTGGACATAAAATGATGTCCTCAAAAAAATATTTGTATAAAATTAAATTTTAATCCGATTTACTTTGGGTTTGTTTCAAACTGCGCGCCATGAGGTTTTCTTTCTCACCACTAGGCTGCATGGTACAATAAGTTCATAAAAGGTGTGGACCACTTCGATCAAATGGTATTACCATTTTACCAGGAAAACTCACAAGTGGACCAAAAAGATAACGTTTTATTTCCTGCAAATGGCATTGCATAATGCCTTTGTTTTGTACAAATACAACAACTGATCAAAAAAAGCTAACATTGCTACAGTTCCACGAGGTGGCAATTTGGGCCCTATTGCGCTGGGACCCGGAAGATTGGCCTCAAACAGCAACAGTATCTCAACACTTGCAGCACACTCCAGACATAAATGATAACAGGTCCTGCCTATGCTGACGCCATGCAAACTCCCGGACCATCTGGTGTGAGGCGGCCTTTGTTCACTTCAACACCTCAAGCTGAAGCAGCAACCGAATCAGAACCCGAGATGTCTGGCACACTGCCATTTAACGAGACGGTTTTGTCAGATGACTGACTCAAATGTTGAACCTCCAGCGATTCAGTTGATTCTGAAAATCGCATGAACTACAAACTGAAACGAGTATTTTGATACCAGAATGAACACTATCACATAAACTGCCGTAAGTAGACTCGAACCTTCATAGATTTTTTTTTGGGTGTAGCGTGTGTCTGCACGAGTGTCCCAAACGGGTTGCAGGTGGGTAACTTTAGCCGTTTATACTCGTAATGCTTCCCCCATATCATGTATTATATGCGTATGTCTGTTTAGGGAATTTTATTCTGATCAATGTACAACCAAAAATAACTGTGCAACAAGTATAAACTTGACAAACATAACAGTAAAAACATTTCGTGTGTGTTTGACGCTCACTGATATGTTCCAGCGTTGTTTTATATTTGGCGCTATTCATCTTATGCTTTGTTGATCTTTTTTACCTACGGGCTCATAGAACATTCTATTGCGAACACATTGGCACAAAAATGAATGACGTACATAGAATAATAATGTCAGGACAGTGAAATAAGTATAAACTTTCAAAGCGCCATATCGCACATGTGTCGTCCCGTCACCGATACCGGGTAACAGTTCCGCCACTTCCCACACTCTTGCGGGTGGGCCGCGACCATTATTCTATGGTTATATTCATATCACCGTGTTGGGAATTTCATTGCGAGTCCATCGATACCAAAATTAACGCTGTAGGACAAGTGTGGAGGTGATAACAATCCCATGAGTAAAAACTTTGTTGCTGTTGGGCGCTCACGGCGAGTCATCTACGTAGTTATTTATTTGGTGCCAGTATCCCTATACCTTTCGTGATCTTTTTTACTGATGTTCTTCTAGAGAATTTTATTGCGAACACGTTGATACCAAAATTAAATACGTAGCTCTAGAACTAAGGTCAGGAGAGTAAAAAGAGTATACACATTTTTGTTCCGACGCTTAAGCGACGCACATACCGCTATTTTTTTTTTTTACCTTAGCCGGGCGGGCGAAAGTGTTAAATACCATTTACAGTACCTATAGACAATAGGTAATTTTTTTCTCACAGACATGAATGTACTGTGCCAGGCCATGTCTCCACATTGTTTACTGTGAACTCGCATGGTTAGCTTCAATTTTGAAAGACAGTAATGTTAATTGTGATCTTCAATTTAATTTACAAAATGCCTGAAGTTACCCAAAGGAAGCGCCTGATGGTTGCACAAAAGCTGCAGTTAATTTAATTAAAAACTTGACAAAGGATATTCTCATGCACGAGCAGCAGCAGAGTTTAACATTGGCAAAAGTACATTAAGTGATATAAAAAACCAGAAGGAAATGCTATTAAAATATGTAAGCACTACAGTGTGCTACTTCTGGTGCTTCATGTTCAAGAAAAGCAGTAAAAGCTGATCAGTATCCACAATTGGATGCTGCAATGTATAAGTGGTTTATTCAGCACCGCACAATTGACAGTGGAATATGATTTGAAGAGCTTAAAGTTGCAGCAAGTAAATTTGCCATTCAATTAGGTATAAAATATATCACTGCAAGTGATGGGTGGGTTGAAAAATTTAAGGCTCAACATAACATTTCTAACACCAAAAAAATTTCTGGCGAGGCTTCAAGTGCTGATCCCACAAATGCTTAATCATTCAAGGATAAATTAAACCAGTACAATGTCAGTAATAATTTAAGCAAATATCAAGTGACGAGACAGGGTCGCTCTCTCAATACTAAGGCTCTCAACCTGTAGGGATGCAGACAACTTTTCTTCAAGATGGCATCTGTTTACTGGAGTCCTGTGGCACAGGATGTGAGCCCCGTGTACCCACACGAGTTTTGAATAGTTCCCTATACCTAAAAGTGCCATTTGACACTGCACACACCTGATCAGGAATCTTGAGGCACTTTGTTCAGTGCAGTGGCTAAGATTTGATAGACTGAGGTCTTCAAGGAAGATGTCTTATGCCAATAGTGCTGGGGGCATTATGTTATGTAGCCCGGTACTTATCCTGTCCCTTCTTCCCATGGAAAGCACTTTCCTTTTGGTCTTTGTGGTGTGTTAGCTTGGGAAACCACTGAAGGGAGGTTTTCCAGGAATCCAGCATTAAATGTAACAACATACCCCTTTCTGGTAGGTTCATTCATTGACTCCCCATTCTTACCCTTCATTGTGGTTTTCAGGGTTTGCTTTGACCAGCTAGCTGGGACCCCCCAAAGTCACCAGGGCCCCTACCATCCGGTACGCACCTAGTTGTGCTCGCCTAGCTGTGCTTGCGGGGGTTCAGCTTCGGCTCTTTGGTCCCTACTTCTCGACTGTCAATCAACTGGTACAAAGATTTTTGAGCCTATTGGGCTCTATCATATCTACATTTAGAACCGTGTATGGAGTCTGCCTCTACCACATCACTACCTAACGCATTTCATTTGTTAATTACCCTGACACTGAAAACATTCTTTCTAATGTCTCTGTGGCTCATTTGGGTACTCTGGTGGATTTGGTGGATAGCTCAGCTAATTTGGTGAAGAGCTAGAGTTGATAACTAATGGTTGGTTCAGGAACAAGCATGTACATAGTTTGCATCAGCATTATCAATATTTTTCCATGCAGTTACTTGTTTTGGTTTGCTTAACCTTTCTGATAGTTTTTTCTTTTGGTCAGGGATGACCTTGTGTCCCTTGCCTCTGTTGAGGGAGAGTCAGATTCCCACCCTTGTCCCTGGTAACTGTTATAACTCAGATCTGGTCAGATGGTCTAGCCTTAACAGTTATTGGTGGCTAGGGAGCCACCAAAAGACCCAAAAGAGGCACATCATTACATTCAATGTAAGATTTTTGAGTAGTGATACTGTATCACAAAAGATTGTAACATTATCTAGACTTTAGAATAGAATATTCTAGAATATTCGCCTTTTATGCAGTGTCCCACAAAAGACTGATTGATAATGTAGAGACCCACAATATTGGAGGTGCTACAATATTTTAAAGTTGGATTGGACAGACATATTTCCCCAGTGCCCTTTTGCTGTACAAGTGAACAGACTGTTGCCAAACAATGACTACCAGTCAATCTGGGACAAAATCAAGAAACTGAGGTATTATGTATGTTGACTAATCTAAACGGGGATCATTCAGATAATTTTTGTTCACCTTAAAATAGAATGGACAATTCACTGAATGACTTAAAAAGTAGATATGGACAAATATGCCACTTTGTATATTAATATCTGACCTTAGCAATCAGTATTTCCCATTTAGGGTGCTTGGGGCCAGCATCTGGTTTCTTAGGAAGCCAGTGCCAGGAAACCCCCCCCTAACCTCCTGGGATGCAGGGGATTAGGGACCCCCCCTAACCTGGGATGCAGGGGGTTAGGGACCTGCCTAAGTAACCCCTTGGAATGCAGGGGGTTAGGGATCCCATAAGTAACCCTCTGGGATGCAGGGGGGTTAGGGATCCCCCCCAAGTAACCCCCTGGGATGCAGGGGGGTTAGGGATCCCCTCCCTAAGTAACACCCTGGGATGTAGGGGGTTAGGGATCCCCTTCCTAAGTAACCCCTTGGGATGCAGGGGGTTAGGGACCCCCCTAAGTAAACCCATGGGATGCAGGGGGATAGGGACCCCCTAACCCTCTGAATAGGGACTGCTCTAACCCCTTAGGATGCAGGGGGGTTAGACCCCCCTAACTCCCTTGGGATGCAGGGGGTTAGGGACCCCCTTCCTCTGGGATGCAGAACATTGTAAACCAGGTAAGATACAAGAATGAGGCCTAAGAATATTCGCAATATACGTGATTATTCAGTACAGTACAAATAAGGGAAAGTCTTGCCATCTGGATACTAGTAACAGGGAATCCAGACAATTTACATAGTGCTTTATCCACACACCTACATACTTTGGTTTATATATAAACAAGTATTATATCTACAGACATAGCCTGTGTAACTTTACAAGTCAAATGTCTGTGTGTGATATACAACCCTCAATTTTATGTGAAAGTATTATTTGTATTTTAAAATTTGTCTTGAACACCAATAACTTACTTTAAGTGACAACTTTACCATACCAGCAACCAGCCATACCAACTTTACCATACCATTTGGTCAACCTTGAGGTTACCTTGAGGTGCTTCCGGGGCTTAGCGTCCCCGCGGCCCGGTCGTCGACCAGGCCTCCTGGTTGCCAGACTGATCAACCAGGCTGTTGGACGCGGCTGCTCGCAGCCTGACGTCAAGAAGAATGAATTTACATACATTTACACCACTTGCAAGCAAGCCGAGCTTCTCACCTGGTCTGTGCTGATGGGAAAGTTTTTTAACATCCGATTCTGTTGGGTTCTGGCCAAGGGCTCTCAACACCTCTCCTATCTGTGATACCTGGATTTTTCCATCGCCCTTTTGGTCAAAGATGCAGAAAGCTTCCTGAAATTCTGCAATGTGGAAATTGCAAATGTTTTAGGGTATTATTATTTTCTATGAAATACACAAATTTAATAATCACTTAAAAATGACTGAAGCACATAGTTAAAAATAAACAGTATTAATTTGATTCAGGATGCCATAAAGATTACACTGGCAAAAATTTCCAAATAAAATACAGTGAAGGCCTACTCAGACAGACCCCAGTGAGACGTGTAAAACAAAAGCAGAAGCATCGTCCCATTATGGAAAAATTTACTGGTCTAAACCCACTTAGTCTACAATAAGATTGTTCAAATCCAGCCACTACCTGATTTCCATCCACCACTTGCAATAGAAATACCCAGTATAGCAAATGAATCGTCTGATATAACAAAACCAGACTAATGAGAAAAATAAATTTCCCATGATAGTCCATGCTATTTTTTATTTATTTATTTTTATTTTTAAAGGTAGCTACAGTGATGACAACTTCCGACTCTTATTAGCAGGCTCAGCACTTTCCTTTTCCATAGAAATGCATGGTTTCTGCACAAAACACTATGCCTGTTAGTGGCTTTGCAAGAATGTATGAACTCTGCTATTATGAACTTTCAAAAGTCAATGTACCTTCCTGTAAAAAAAAAAAAAAAAATAGTAACATGTTTTGCTCATGATGCCAAGCTACTAGAGAAGATAGGAAACTTGAGACAATTGTCATGCCCTTCAAGATGACCTGGACGAAAGTGTATGGAACAACATTTGGCAGATGGATTCAATGTGAATCAATGCCATGTTATGGAATATGGATTTGGAAAAAAAAAAAAACGTACAAATTATGTGGAAAGGAATTAAGGACTTCTGATAAAGAATGTATCTAGGAGTGGTTTTAGATAGTAAACTGTCACCAGAGGAACACAAAGAACATCGTGAGAAGAGCGTATGCGTCACTTTCCAACTTCAGACTTGCTTTTAATTATATGGATGGTGAAATATTAAAAAAAATGTTCATTATGTTTGAGACCAAAATTGGAGTATGCAGCAATTGTATGTGCCCATAAATAAACTGGAAAGGTGCAAAAAGCATACTACAAAGAGGCTCCTGGAACTGAAAAACTAGAGTAACGAGAAGAGACGAGGCTTTACACATGCCAAAACTAGAAGATAGAAGAAAGAAGTGATATGATCACCACTTACAAAATACTAACAGCAACTAGCTAAATTGACAAGAGGAATTCCTCTGCATCTTCAAGAACAAGAGGATACAGATTCAAGCTATGGAAACAAAGGTGCCAAAAAAATATTAAAAAGTTTCTTTTGCAAACAGTTGTAGACGGTTGGAACAAGTGTGGTGGTGGAGGCCAAAACTGCCAGTAATTTCAAAGCATTATATTACAAAGAGTACTGGGAAGACGGGACACCAGGAGTATAACTCTCATCCTGTAGGTAATTACACATACACACCCAAAGCACATTGTGAAAGCAAACACTATTCATTGTTTTAAAACTTGACATGATAGGGGAAGTAGAACAGAAGTCATTGCTTTAACCACTTAACTGCGCCAACCGAGAAAACTATCTTTGATTTTTCGGTACCAATTCTAAATGCATACGATGTTGGTTATGTACTAAATGAACTCTTAGGACCTCCAGTCAGAGGCAGCCATCTTGGAAAAAATTCCCAGAATGCCCTAGGGCTGCTGGCTGGGTTAGTATTGAATGAGCAACCATGGGTGGTGCACGCACCTCTGGCTCCCACACCTGTCAGATGCGGTGTTGAAAGATAACGCTGTCGGTGAAATTCAAACCTTATTGTTTGAATAACATAAGGGTCACAATATTGGTCAAGCTAGGCGCAATAAGGACCTAACACAAATGTCGGATGCAACCGAGTTTTCTCGGTTGGCGCAGTTTCCCACCGACCGAGAATACTCGGTTGGCGCAGTTAAGTGGTTAAAGCAATGACTTGTTCTACTTCCCCTATCATGTCAAGTTTTAAAACAATGAATAGTGTTTGCTTTCACAATGTGCTTTGGGTGTGTGTGTGTAATTACCTAAGTGATTGTAATTACCTACAGGATGATACAGCACCTATGAGGACGATACAGCGAACGTAACCAGTTGTAGCTCTGAGCGTCACCCTTGCAATCCTATGCTATCTACAACTTATTTAGATATGACATACTGTAGATGAATCGTTTTCTGCGTTTAGTGATGATGCATCTGATACATATAGCATAGATGAACAGTGTTAGCGGCTTCCATGGTGGTGTTTTCCATAGATATTTTCAGGAATACCAGAACCCCTTCCTAACTGACACTCTTTGAATCTCTCTTTAACCGATGGTTTGAGTTTGACGGTGATGAGTTTGACAAACTCAAACGTAGGGGCCCCACCCAGCCCTGGTCAGCGTGGTCCATCCCATCCCAACCCATGCTAACGAGAATATACAATTATATTTTAAATATAATTTAAATGTTAAAATTTTGCCCCGAGGGGCGAGTTTATTGGGCAGCGCCAATCATCCTGTGAGTGGACACACCGCCATAGCAGCATGTACAACACTCCCCAATAGGAAGAAAACCCGCTGGGTTGTTCATCCTGTCACTTGTACCCAGACACAGCTGGGTACAAGTGTTCACTGTCTCAAGTGAACAGCTCCTCAAACAAGAAGACTAACATCTATCAACCCTCAATAATGTCGGGGAGGTGTGTTTGGTCCTAGAAACATTTCAAGGTACATTACGGATGCTTCTGTGCCCGGCTTTCCCGTTCACATGAAAAAAAACCTTCAACATAATAAAGTTGAACACTGTGATTAAGATATAGAAGCTACAACCAGCGCAGACAACTACAACTACAGCAGGAAGACCAAGGAGCGGGGATGTAGGGGCGAGGATAGTGGTGGCTGGCCACACCCATCCACTCCTGCCGCTCCACAACAAACATCACTCACCTATAATCTGGTCTTCAGAGAACGCTGCCTGTAATTAAACAAACACATCAATTAGCATCATCATTTGAGATATATATGCGTATATAAGGCTGCTATGGTATCAGTATTAGAGGATAAACAAGATAAGAGTGTGTGTGAGGTAAGGTAAGAGGCGGGAGGGAGGAGCAGCAGGACCTACCATGTCGCCGCCGCTGGTGAAACTCCTGCCTCTCTCCCTCTCTCTCCCGCCTCCCTCTCTCTCCCGCCCTCCACACACTTCTAAAAACACACCAATATCATATCTATACCCTTATTTTATATGATATTTTACTCCATCTAACTATTATACATATATATCTCTTTGATATATACAAAATAAGCTACACTAAAATGGTGTTGTAGTATGTTATTTTGTAGTTGTGTGAGAGCAGGTGGGCGCAATGCTGGAACTGTTAGGCAAGAGTTGCTGATTACCGGTGGCCCCTGTGACACTGTCATGACCCCAGAGGAAACCCGCCACCTGATCCTCAACACTACTTCATTCTTCAACACTATTACACTTTCACACGAATTTGCATTAACATGAGTTACATTTTCACCAAAAGTCAGCAAGAGGCCAGTAAAAAATAGCTTGGCGTAAATATGCAGTGGTCTCGATCGCATAAAAAGCCTTTGATTGCACTGTTCCATATTAGGTATGAGTTCTACTCGATTGAGAATGTACATCTTGAATATTTCATGGCCCTTAATATACGAAGCAACAGAGTCGAGATTGCTGTACGCGGTTGATGGAGCCGCGTACGAAAAAAGAGAGCCGAACCCAATCAAATTTTTTTTCAACGCTTAATTTAGTTGTATTTAGTTTATTTATTGAAAGCAAAATGCTTCACTATGTACACACAATTCTGTATATACACCTACACACAATATACACTCATCGCATATGAATTACGTCGAGATTATATATAAATTACAATTAAATGTATTAAGATATATAGATTGAGATTCGGTTTATATCTGATATACGCTCTGGAACTTACATATAGAACGTACACAATTACAAGCCTTTTAAATACGTATGTATTTACTAAAATTCTGAGTTCCGGAGTGTTCGAACACTATGTATGACGTCATCCGGTGATTCATCAGCAACATACCTAAATCTGACCGCATTAGCAGTAAAACACATATTGCTATAATTGTGGTCATTATAGTAGCTTAGGTGTACACAGTAATGCACTCGTGCTGCTACCCTAGTCTATAATGAAGGGTTTCACACTGTAGATCATAAACTAGCAACATATGACTTTACTTAACATTCCAATCTCACAGGATGGTTAATGATAGATAACATGGAATGCGAGTATAATCTATTAGCCTGCACTAGCAAAACCGCCATGGATAGAGCACAAGATTAATATCTTCCAATATTTGCGAGTGTAGGAGTTAGCACTTACAGCGCTCAAAATATCTCTTGCCATATTTGGTCTGAAAACATTGATAACAGGGCACTCATAGATATAGTGTTGGAGAGTATATCTTAGCTCTCATCCGGGGTGTTTACAATTGGGACGTTCACCATTGGTGGATTCATTGCCTGAATTTACCTGAGGGCCACTAGCTCTCTACTGGCCTCGAGGAGAACAGGAAGCCGGCGGGTTGTCAAAGGTCCCCCCATTTGTCCTATTGATTTAATTGGGTATATTGAAATTCAGCCGTGTTTTAGGCATTTACGGCCTCGGTGGGTTTAATCCACCGGGGTTTAAATCTTAATGGGGGTTTAACCCTGTAGGTGAGACAGCATCGCGGTTTCTTGTCCAACATTGTAGCTTGTTGAGCTTGGAACCGTTGCTCCTTGTCTGTGTTACAGATGACCTTTAAAAGAAGTTGTCTGGATCAGTATCCTCCAAATTGTTCAGTATTTACAAAGCTTCAATGAGATCAGCCCAGTCATGTCTGGTTTGCAGTGTTATTAGCCCTGTGCCCTTCAACCGTTCCTAGTACAAGAGTCCACTTAGTTCTCAAATGATTTTTGTTACCTGGTGTTAAACTTTCTCTAAAACACATGTCTTTCTGAAGATAAATAAAAAACAAAATAAAATAAAATGTTTATTCAGGTAAGGTACATACATACAAGAGATTTCACATAATTTGATCGATTTATGGATGGAGCTAGTACATACAATGCCTAAAGGCACTATTAAGCAAAGCGTTTCGGGCAGGAAAAACATTAATGACTAAAACTTAATACTAATTGAGTATAAAGAATAAAATGTGTTGAGAACAAATAAAAATAAAGATAAAAAACGGGGAAACATGGCTGGTGTTTTGATGTGAAAACAAGATGAAGTCTCCATGCTTGGATAAAATGACCCACATGGGGGCACACATGAGATATCCACTTGAATAACTACCTTCATTTCCTTGAAGTCAGAAGTTCACTTTACTATTCCAAGGGTTTGGTTAGCTTGTTTTTATTACTACAGTCCCCACTTAAGCAGCTTTTAGTGAATGGTGGATTCTGATTCCAAGGTCTTTTTCTCCGCAAATGGTCATAATTTAAGACTGGTAAATGCTTTCTAATATTGAAAAATGCATAACTTTGCATGTGGGGTATAATAACCCATGGCACAACTACCATATTAATAACATTACCTTGCAACAGATTGATGAAGAAAAGCACCTTGGAGTAAACATCCACCATCCACTGAAAGTTGCACAGCAGGTAGAGCCAGCAGTAAAAAAACTAACCAAACCCTTGGAATAATCAAGCGTACATTTGACTTTGTGGAAAAAAAAGGTAGTGATTCAACTCTGATGCGTCCTCACTTGGATTATTGTATCCAGGCGTGGAGACCACATCTTCCGACAGACATAGCTGCTCTGGAGAAAGTGCAACACCGGGCGACAAAAATCATTCTAGAACAAAGTCAACTCACGTATCAGGAACGGTTGAGGGCCACAGGGCTAACAACACTGCAAACCAGGCATGACAGGGCGGATCTCATCGAAACCTTTAAAATACTGCACAATTTGGAGGATGTTGATCCAGATGTTGATCCGAACAGATTCTCCAAAAGGTCAGATGTAACACAAACAAGGAACAACGGTTTCAAGCTCAACAAGCTACAATGCAGGACTGAAAACAAATGTTTTTTCACCCACAGTGTTATAAACGCAGAAAACTTCTTACACGCCGGAACCGTAAATGCCAAAACTCTGTTAAATTTAAAAATCCAGTTGGGAAAAATCATCAGGGCAATTGGGCGGGGATACCTTTGACAAGCCGCCGGCTTCCTGTTTTCGTCGAGGCCATTAGAGTGTCAGTGGCCCTCAGGTAAATTCTTCATCAATCTGCTACAAGGTAACGCACGTTGTTAATTTGGTAGTTGTGACGCGCATTGTTATGCCCGACATGCAAAGTCTTCCAATTTTGTATATTAAAAATCCTTTGCTAGTCTTCAGACCATTTGTGAGTTCATGTAGATCTCTTTGCAAGGCTTCAATATCATTATCATTTTCCACTTTACCATAAATCTTAGTGTCATCTAGAAATTTGATGATGTTTATAATATTCTCATCTAATGTATGTCATTAATGCATATTACAAAAAGGGTTGACCCCAAAATGGACCCTTGCGGTACGTACCTACTCGCCACATTTCTCCAGTCAGATTCATTGCTTTGTTTAAACTAATGTTTTATTCATTCCAGTATTCCGCTATTTATTCCATTTGCTTGTAAGTTCCTTTCCAGTTTTTCATTTGGTACCTTGTTGAGAACTTGAGCAGAGTTCATATATGCTTCATATATTGAGACTCCTTTATCTGAGTAGCTGGTTATCATTTACAAAAATGTGAGCAGGTTTGTGAAGCAGGATTTATTTTTAACAAAACAATATTGCGTTGATGTTACTAGATTCTCTTCATGCTTACTAGGCTTCTCTCCATGCTTACTAGGCTTCTCTCCATGCTTACTAGGCTTCTCTCCATGCTTACTAGGCTTCTCTCCATGCTTACTAGGCTTCTCTCCATGCTTACTAGGCTTCTCTCCATGCTTACTAGGCTTCTCTCCATGAGCTGGCAGTTATGGGAGGGCACACTGATCGGAAGGTAGTTTTCTACTGAACTTTTTCTGTCTTTTTGAAAATATGGATAACATTTGCATATTTCCAATTAAGGGGGGAACTATATCTTGGTCCAGAGATTTTCTGAAAAGGAGTTTCAGTGGTAGAAATAGTTTAGCTGCCAGTTCCTCTATGTCTTTGGATTGCATTCCTTCCACACCTGGGGGCTTTCAGTCATTTTGTTTGTCAATAGTTTTCCCTGATTATATCACATGTTACGGAGATATTCCTTAATTTATTTTTCTTCACCTGCAGCAAACATCTGTACTCAGTTGTGCTTGCGGGGTTGAGCTTTGGCTCTTTGGTCCCGCCTCTCAACTGTCAATGAAGAAATTTGTCAATTTGTGTGGGTATTGAGATGTCTAAGCTCTTAAATGTGAACACTGATGTAAAGTATTCTGAACTCTGGATTGCCAAGGTCAAGTGAGGGTTGAGTATGTGTCCGTGGAGGCACTGTGTCACCGGCACCACAAGTGCATGTCGTGACCTGACATCGTCTCTCATCACTGGAACCCCCCCCCCCCATCTCTCACAACTGAATTAGTATGGATTCTGTCGAACATCACTGGCTATTGTTGTTGAAATTATAACCCCACAGCCCAAGTTTTGTTAACATAACCAAACAATATTCATTATATAGTTCAAGATTTCATCAGAATGGCTGTCAGAATAATAATTTATTATAATGACTGTTAAAAGATGGATTAGACGTGATTATCAATTGTGGTAAAGCATATACTAGTGTCACCAAAAATGTATATTTCCCATGGTAATGCGCAGTTGCATATATTTCACCACTGCGGTACCACGAGCCACTGTCTGTTATATCGTGGGGGCTGAGTTATGGTAAAAGTCAAGGTAAGGGAGTTAATGGGGTTAGGATAGGCCAGGCCCCCAGGGAACCAGTTCCCAAATAAATAATAAATTATGAAAGGACTGCTGTCTAGTGCAGATCACCTAACACTGAACCAGATGGGTGATGTAAATAAACTCCAGCTGAAGTTTTACCTTAATATAATTTATTAACCCTAAAACCCCCAAGTACAACATAAATACTTTACCACCTCGATGTTACGTTACCTTAGGGCCATCTTAACAGCATTATGGGCCCCTGGGCACACCAGTGTGCTGGGGCCCTCTACGGCAACCACTCTCTGTAATAAAAAGTAAAT